AATTTATTGGCTTAAATTTACGACAATTTAAGTTTGATATTTAAACAAAAGATAGGTTTAAAAGGTGTTTTTTCCGGTTTTAAGAAAAGCAGGGAAGAACGTGAACTTTGCTTCTCTTAATTGCCCGGATTCGGGATTCCGAGTGAAACACTAATTGGCGGGCGAGAAAAAAAATCGCCACCATAAAAATGATGAGTTCAAAGTGTTGATTTCAAAATTCCGAAAATGCGTTTCCTAAGATTTGGAGTACAAAATAGCGAATTTCTTGTGATTTTTGAGGTACCCATTGGAGCACCGCGTAGGTCTCCATCCTGTTTATCCCAAAAATTCTGCTGAATTGGCATCAGATCGGACAAGGCAAATTTCTGGACTTGCACTACGCCGCCCTGGCAACGCTGGCATAGAAGATTCTGCACTATTTGGTACAGAAACTAAATAGATTTTTAAGTGCAGACGGAAACAAATGCTATAAATTGCTTAAGCGACCAGCACTAGATTCTCGAAAATCTCGAAAATCTCGAAAAAAATTTCTCGAAACTCAATTTTTGAATGTCTTTAAAGGGCCGGCGAAGTCATATTCTGCAGATTTCGAAAATACAATCTACAATCTTCTTTAAAGGGCCATTGAAGTGAAACGTTTGCAGATGGTTTTAAAATAAAGTTTCCAGCTTTCATATTTTAAAACGCCCCTTAAACAGTGTTTTCGCAGCCCGTAAACCCGTAAATTTTCGAATTTTAGCAAGACTGCAGGATTTTTTCAGGGCTAAAAAGCTACAATATACTCAAAATTCCGCGGCAATCGGAGAAGCGTTTTGAAGGTTTCTTAAAAAAGTTATTGCCCTGGACTTAGGTTACAAATCCTGTTAAAATAAGCGTTCAAAATTCTCCCCAAAAACACGAAAATCACCTCCTGATGCTTGTTTTCCAGGGAGGCCGAAAACAGTAATCCCAGAGCGCTATTTTTAGCGGTCACTCCAGGTAAAGAAGCCCAACAATTCCCTCATAACACCCAAAATCCCAAATAGCCGTCGCGTGCCTCCGACTCCACCGAGCAACAAAAACGGTATATTTGCCATTGTACGTGTTGGCGATTTTTTGGAGAGGGTGAGGGGTGGCGCGTCCGGGGGGACAAAGAAGAAGCCTCACCCCCTAGTGGCCTGTGAATTTATCGCCTTTTTGACGAGGGCTTCCGTGATTCGGGCGGGCCTTTTTGAGGGGGAATGATAAAGGCATTAGGATTTTTGGGGGTCCGAAATTTTCGGATTTGGACCCCGGTGGACCCGACAGATTTTTTTGTGCGAGGCGCCAGATAACCAGCGGATGGCCAGGCGTGCAGGACACCTCAAAGATCAAGTACAGGCTAGCAAATGGGACCTGACGGTACAAATCTGGGGATTAAAGGGACTGAAAAGCTAAGAAATCTACGGGTCAGGTGCATTTTTTACAAAACCACACAGAGTAGACCAAATTTAAATACGTCAGACGTTATTAAAAATATGTAAATCTTATCGGAAGTTTGCAAAAGTGTTTCGCTATAACTTGTTTATTTTACAGGATTTTGGGCTGTAGTTAAAACTTTTAATCAATTTTTAGGGTTCTATCGAATGGTGTAGCCAAAAATCCCGACAAAAGCACAAAATTAAAGTTTAATTAAATTAATTAAAACTAACACAAAATTTTTGGAACTCCCGGCTGCGTAGTGGTAAAGTAAAGTCTAGCCGAAAATCTAGACGAAAATGAGCTGGTAGCGCCGCTTCTGCCATCAACGATAAAAATCTTTCGAGAGTTGCCGATTTTAGGATAAGTGAATCCTAGGTATCATATTCTCGGGAAAAATAATTTAGGAAAAATGGCCTGAAATCCAAATCGACGTCGGAACCAGATGGGTATCGACAACTACACACTACAACAAAAGACGTTGGCAAACGTTTTCCGTCAATAAACGGAAAATCCGCTGTCGTGTCTTCCCCTCCACTTAAAAAGGGCAAGGAAGCTGAAAGCACAGGTCAGTGCATCCACCCGAAATCCGCTCGGAATCCCGGAGGGGATCGAGGGGAATTCCGCTCGCGGACGCGAGTGGATTCCACATGGAAATCGAGTGGATTCCGGGTGGAACGCATGGAAATCGAGTGGAAACCAAGTGGATCCACTCGGTTTCCGCTCGATTTCCATTTGCCGCGACGCGTGGGCCCGCGTTGCTTCGTGTTTGCACTCGATTTTCACTGCGTCCACCCGATTTCCACCCGATTTCCATACGTTCCACCCGAATTCCAGGCGGAATCCACACGGAATTTGGGTGGATGCACGGACCTGTGAGGCCACCCCTTTCTCTTGATTCTCGACAACTACGCTTCGCGCCAGATACAGCATACACCTCGTTCCGTATTCACATTCTGGAACCAGGCGGACAAAATTCGTGAATAGCATCAAAGAACGGGACCATCCCACGCCTTGTGCCTCCGCTAAAAGCGAGCCGTTCTGTTTTTATAGTGCATAAATTGAAGTAACGACTAGAAGACGTCTATGATCTTCAAAAGGCCGCCGGAAATCAATGCTAATAAGAAGACGCCTCCAGCTCGACTATTAGCATATTAAAAAGATCCGTGTGTTTTAGAGGCAATCCGCTCTGAATTTGGCGATGGCGTGGGTTGAGATATTTTTTGGCGTCATAGCAAGGTCCGGAAAATATGGACGATATTGGATTTTGGCGAGCGAGTCGATCGGGGCGTGTGAAAGGGGCAATATTATTGTTGCTTGGAATCAGTGTGTTTTACTACTTTGAATACTTTATAGTTTTCTATACAAAAAGAGCTTGAGTTACACTATACAATTTGAGGCCCATTGACCCAGGCGCCGATTCAACCCAACCCAAAAAAAGTTACCCAGACAGACGAGTGGACGCAATTTTGAACCCACGAATTTCGGGGCAATTGTTTTTTATTGGGTGTTTTAACAGGGTGCGAAAGAGAGAGAGAGAGAGAGAGAGAGAGAGAGAGAGAGAGGGAAAGATAGAGGGAAAGAGAGAGAGAGAGAGAGAGAGAGAGAGAGAGAGAGAGAGAGAGAGAGAGATGAGACAGAGAGAGTGAGAGCGAGCGAGAGAGATCAAGTGAGAGAGCCAGAGAGGGCAAGGAAAGAGAGAGAGTGAGAGTCATGAAAAGCGTTAGAGTGAGAGAGGCAGAGATAGTGATAGAAAGAATGCTAAAGAGTAAGAGAGCGAGAGAGAGAGAACGAGAGAGAGAGAGAGAGAAGACGTGAGAGAGAGCTAGCGAACTCAAGAGATATGTTTTTTAGCCTAAAATTACCTGTAATTGCGTCGTCCCTTGTAGCCGAATAATTTTGATCATATAGAGCTTTGCAGATTTCATACAGTTTTCAGCTTCCCAGCCGAGTGTCTGGTTGCCACTTTTGTGTTGGCGGGATGTGTAAACAGTAATCTGTCGAGTAATCCGTATCAAAACAAGCGGAGCACAGTCAGCCGCTTGTGCGTTACACTCCCTGCGAAAACAGCTGCCCCCCTAATTAGCATTTTTGTTTGCGCGCATGGGTGTTGTATGGTTTTTGGGAAGCGTACATATAAATTTCAACAATTTGCAAATTTGAAATTATTGTGTTAAAGAATTCTTAGTTTAGCCCAAACAATTTCAAAATTTATAGCCACCTGAACTGACCCTTGGCCAATTTATACCCTAAAACCTCGTGTATAGGTCCTCACCGTGTATAGGTCCGGGTGAAAATTTTCATGTGTACGGAGCGTCCGTAATTCCGTTTGACCGTCATTGGGTGTGTTTCGTTTTTTCCGTTTCTTGCAGATAACGCCGCTCGCGAATGGTATTTTTGCAATTTTGATGGAATATTTGTTCGTATTTCGGCTATTTCCAACAATTTGAGTGGTTTAATGAAACCAATTGCTGCATGAGGCCCTGAGAACCGGCTCTTTTGGCTTACATAGCTTTTGGGCCGAATTGTACCCTACGCACATTATTTGGTGTCATTTGTATTGGTACGGAACCACATTGTACCGGACCTATACACGAGGTTTTAGGGTATCTATTTACGCCGCCCCGTCTAATCCCGAATTCGAAACCGTTTCGGCTTTTTATAAGTCGAGAGTACCGAGGATTCATTAATTCGGATACCCGGCTGTTTGAGCATCAGCCTAAAATACTGTTTCCGGCCCCCTCAAAAGGTGGACAAACAGAAATTGCCGCCGCCCCCAGAAAAAACAATGGATGTGCCGGTGTTTGTTTTTTGATCAAATTAGCGGGGAGTGTGGGGAACGGAGATTGGTACCTGGGAGCAGAGGGTTGTACAGTGCGGGGATGGGGGTTACGGTAATCCTCTAGGTGAATCAGAGATCGCCTAGATTATTCGGGCACTCAAAATGCTGACACAGATCAACAGATTGATAATGCCGACAGCCAAAATTGTTACAGGCAGCAACTCACCGGATCGAAAAATTTCGGCAGGAAAAAGGGAACAATCCCGACAACCAAAATCCCGACAGGCTAAAAACGCAAAAATACCGACGAAAACCGCGTTTTTCGAAATCGCGGCAGCAGACATTTGTTTGCGCCTGATTTTTTGTGCTTAAAAAACAGGAGACGTTTTTAAGCACAAAGTTTTTTTAAAGCGACGGTTCTTTTGCATTATCGGGGGGGGGGGCGGGTTGAGGAGGCAACCCCTTTTTCATCTTTATGCATTTTTCTACTCACTATAATTAATTTTTAAACTTACCTGAAATATTTCCGTTAAGTTACTAAACAACTCGGGATTTACTGGGAAAAATACGGGACGGTTTCTCAAATTAGCGGATCGGTTTCGCGGAGTACAGTTCGCCTCCTAGTCTCTGGATGTACATTTCCTTCTGGTCATCACCGAGATGTCGAATGATGGGTCGTTCGCGTAATTACCCGCTGAAAGGGCAGGTCTCTATAAAAGCCCGCTCAACGAGGAAGTTGGCGTATTTTGGTGCTGAACGGAACTCAGGAGATCGGCAGAAGATGAAGGCTATTTCTGTACTTGCTCTGCTTATCGCTGGCCTGTTGGTGATCGTGCAGGGTAAGCCTTCTTTATTTCGTTCCTCTCTGCTTTTCCCGTTATTTTAAGCTATCTAATATATTCTTTTTCTAGCTAAAGTAGATCTTCCAAAACTCCCCAATTTTCAGCCGACATCCCCAGCGAGTTCACCGCGTTCGACACGAGCAAGGATGACCAGGTCGGCTTCGGCGAGATTCTGGACCAAGTGGTCAAGAAGACGGGACACAAGCCAACCGACGAGCAGTTCAACATGATTCAAACACGATTCCGCGAGGCGGACACTAACTACAACGAGCAGCTCAGCTTGGCCGAATTCGCCAAAGTCTACCCCGTTTATGTCGAGGCTTTGTCGAAGCAGTAATAAATATTTGAAGAATTCCAATCATAATCCCGACAGCCAAAATCCCGACTGGCCAAAACCCCGACAGGCAAAATACCGACATGACAAAATGTGATATTTCCGGTGGTTCCGGACAAACGGTTTTGAAGTCTGGGGTTTCTGGCGGTCGAGATTTTGGCTGTCGGGAATATGGATGTCGGGATTTTGGCGCTTTCCCGCGGAAATCTATTCACAGCTAACAAAATCCAACACAAGAAATATCGAAAAAGCGCGCAAATCTCGTTTTAGGGTTCACAACTTTCCATATTCCTCCATATTCAGCTGGCCGTCATGATCGCCATCAGCCGCATCGAGGACGGTTTGCCATAAATCCGGCAGATCGCCATCCCATAGATGGCCCAATTTGTTCAGCACCTGAAAAAGATATCTTTGTATTCAAGCCATTGTAAAGTGACTCTAGATATTGTTTGTTAATAGTGCGCTTGCGTGGGAAAACACGTTCCAAAATTTGTGCGAAACACTCGTTTTTGGTGGAGGTCCGGGGGTTAATGCTAACCTCAAACCAGGGTAATTAAACCAAAGCTGTGGATGGATGAGGGGAGATATCGACTATAGAGATGTAAAGTATGTATCTCTAGCAGGGCAAGCATACAGACAGCGATTCCACTCGTCGTCTAGCCACTTTCTACACGAGTCGAGTCTTTCTACCTTCCCGATCAGTCGATTCCCTCTTACCCTCACCCACTCTCCACCCTTACCCTGTCACAAAACCCTCTCCTCCCCCCTTCCCCTCGCCTACGACCATACCACGTTGAAAGCACGGCATCCCGTCCGATCTGCCAAGTTAAGCAACGTTGGGCTCGGTTAGTACTTGGATCGGAGACGGCTTGGGAATCCCGAGTGTCGTAGGCTTTTTGCATTTTGTGTGGTCGGTTTTTGAACTTTTCTGTTGACAGCGCGCACTGGATGTCTTTTTGTTAGGTTTCAAACATTTAGGCTCTCTTACCAAGCTCTCGATCAGCTCCCTCTGCTCAATGTTATTGTCGCCGTTGGCGTCTATGCTTCGAAATTGCTGCTCCAGGTCGCCGGGCGGCCATTTGATGTGGGGGTAGCGTTGTTTGAAGCTGATGGTGTCTACAAACATTTTTAAAGCAAAAATCATGGAAAGCGTGGATTACATCAGTATCGTGATGTTAAAACAACGGACCTGATAAAATAGGGCCAGCAAAGAGACAAATCAATAGAATGGATCCAGTGGTCATTTGAAAATATTTGGATCGAGATCGCTTTGATATTTAGCGTGCTTTGGATCATTTCCGACAAGAACGTGGGGATCTCCGTATCTCGCTTTCTCTCTTTCTTTCTCTCTCTCTCTCTCTCTCTCTCGCCGAGAATAACCCATCACCACAAAATATCTATCATCAAAATAATGTCATAATTCTTTCTTTTATTTACTCAAAAATTCTCTCCAAACAACACGGTCCCAAAAGTTTATATTCTTCAAAATCCAATTGGCCGTCGTTATCCTTATCCGCTTCATTGAGAATAGTCGACCAAAGATTTTCCATATCTCCGTCCCAAATTTGAGCCAGATTGCTCATCACCTGAAAAAAACATTTTAAGGGAATAGGGAAGACAGTTCAAAGCTCCCTTCTTACCATAATCCCCTCCCTGGTATCGATTTTTCCATTTCCGTTAATGTCCAACTTTTCAAATTGTTGCCGCAAGTTTCCAGCCGGCCAGCCGACAAAACGATACTGTTCTTTGAAGGTTTTGTTTGCTAAAAAATCACGAGCATCGTAATTTTCTCAACTCTAAAGGGGACCAGCTATGCTCAAACCTACTTGGTACGACCTCAGCTATAGAATATAGCATGAAACACGATATTAGAAGCAAAACTAGCATTTCTGTAGGTCGTTGTTGGTCAACTGGAACTGCCAGGTATCAGCTGATTATCTGTTTATCACACGCCCAAGGTCAAGAACACCACGTTCGACAAAATTCAACAGGATTTTTTTGGGATATTTGGGATCCAACATTTTTCTAAATTTGGTTTTGACTTTTATGAATTTGAAAATTTTGAAATCAAGTTTAGGCAAACAAACTTGGAGCGGATCCAAAATACTACGGTATCCCTTCGAAGCTACTGCTACCAGCCAAACCTAATTCGCAACCCGCCAATATACAAAAAGCCTACGACACTCGGGATTCCCAAGCCGTCTCCGATCCAAGTACTAACCGAGCCCAACGTTGCTTAACTTGGCAGATCGGACGGGATGCCGTGCTTTCAACGTGGTATGGTCGTAGGCGAAGGTAAGGGGGGAGGAGAGGCTTTTGTGACAGGGTAAGGGGAGGGTGGGTGAGGGTGAGAGAGGGTGGACAGGTCGGGAAGGTAGGGAGACTCGAATTTGTGTAGAGAGTGGCTAGACAACGAGGGGAATCGTTGACAGTATGCTTGCCTTGCTAGGATACATATATTACATTTCTATAATTGATATCGCCCCTCCTCTATCCAGAGCTTCAGTTTAATTACCCAAGTTTAAGCTAGCATTAACCCCGAGATCTCTACAAAAAACGGGTGTTTTGCAGAAATTATGGAACGCGTTCATTCACGGGGCACACCCAATGGATTGAATGGCTTTATAGCCCCTTTAATAAATGTTGAAATTAACTTTTTGAAGTTGTATTCTCGGCGTAGCTGATGGCGTTAGTGGCGGCCAGCCACATTTTGAAGGCTCTAAGACCCGGATCGGTTTCCTCGATCTGCTTTTGCAGTTGTTTTGAAAATTCGCCGATGATTTGATGATTCTGGTCATCTTGATGATGATTGATGCTGGTTTTGATTTTGCGAGAAAGGGCTGATTGAGATGGGCCGGGATACCCCGAAAAAGGCGTTTTATTGGAGGTGCTCAAGGTGAAAGTGGAGTCCCAGAAGTAACACGCGATAATTTCTTTAATGCAGAAAATATTGGCGTTGTTTATTTTAGTGGTAACTTTCCTGGAAGGGACAGGTAATTTTTCACACAGTTCTTTGCTATTTCAGCTTTTCAGCCCAAAGCCCGGAAAATGTCAGCAGATTGGACCCGGACTCGGTGCCATCAAATCAAAGTATCGTCTTGTTTTTAACCTTCCGAGATCCGGATAATTGATAATTTGAAGCAGTCCATCATCCTCCCGGCTGGATACCGTATATCAATTGGTCTACTGAAGAATTGAGGAGATTATTCGAAAGTTTGGATAGTGATGGAGACCACGAAATTGATGCTTTTGAGGCTTCGAAGGTAAGCTACGATTTTTTTATTGATTTTGATAATTTAAAACGATACCTTCATTTTAGGAGCTCGGAAAACGCGCTCTGATGATGAATGCTGAAGATATTTGGACCCAACAATTTCTGCCAACCGATGTGAACAAAAATCAGAAAATTAGCTGGAGCGAGTTTTTGGAAATTGGCGAATTTCTGAAGGATCCTGAAGATCCTTGAAGCAACATAAATCCGATAAAACAGAGTTGGGGTCCATTTTTAATGGCAAACTACAAAAATCGCAGCGGATACTTTTTTCAGAAACTTGTAAATAGAAAATTGATAAAAACAATAAATTGACTCCCTCCTATACTGAAACTACAACTGTCATAATGATTATTGGGAACACAATTGATCGATTGGTAAAATGAACGCTGTTTCCGGGAAATTGCCAAAAAGAAAAAGTCTTCCGGAACCGAAATTGAGAAATCCAAGCGAGAGAAAACTCATCCCGGATCAAAACTCACAACCCTCATCCTGGTGGCTATAAAAACATTAAAAACAGGCCGTCCAGCCTCGCGCTATAATGCTGAAAGCACTGCTAATATTCTACGCTGTAGTCGCCCTGTTGATAAAAGCAGGTCGGACAATCACCTAAAGACACAGTTCTGAAGTTTTAGAAACGCTACGCGTGCAATTCGAAGAATTCGACGCAAACCGTGACGGCTTCATCACCGTTGGTGAAATGCAGCAGGTAAGCGTAGGCATTTACACTATCGACATTAAACTATACATTTTAAACTAGATTTGGATGTAGTCAAACTTTATTTTAGGGTATGAAAAAGCGCGGTGATAGCGGCGGAATTGGGTTTTGGTATACCATGCTGGCGGTGGCCGATACGCACGTTCCGGATGGAAGGCTTGATTGGGACGAGTACCAGAAATTGGGGCCCTAAAAATTGCTAATAAAATGCAGAATAAAGCCACACTTCTCGAAAGGCTCTCAAAATTCCTTTATTCGAGCTAGAAATACAGACAAGTTCGAAAATGCGCGGCCAACAAAAACACATCCAAATAAATACAGCCGAAGCGATCAAATGCCGATACCAGGAAGGAAATGAAAAGCTGGAAAATGACAACACGGAAAAGAAGGATCACAGGTTTTTCGCAAGCGAATTGCACAAAAAGCCATATCAAATTTGGGGGGTAATTTGGTGTGCGCGCCTAATTTGGCAATTGGCGCATCGTCTGAAACTGAAAAAAGAACGGCAAGCAAATATACACAAAAAAACTGTATGCAATTTGGGGGGCGTAGTTTGGTATATTAGGGTACACAACATTCACAAGGCGAGGGAGATTCCGGGGGGTAAGTGTATGGCGAATCAAAAAAAAGCAGCACATTGCAGGATATTAAAAAAAGGGTTTCGATATGAAACGGGTCTAATACAGAAAAACGGCTAACACGGGAGAGCTAACACGGCTATACAATGAAATTCAAGTTGAGGTGGTGGGCGCGATTTTCTAGCGCGTGAAGATCGCCTCGGCGGCCGCGTTCAGGTCCCACGCCTTTGCCTCGAGCGCGCTGACGGCGATCGCGTGGTCGGTGGCGATGCCCGCGTCGACGAGATGTTCTACCTGAAATTGGGATTTTTAATCTATTTACTTAAGTCAGAAATTGAAAACTGGACAGTTGCCGTCGTTTTAACAAGTTCTAACAGTTCTGATAAGTCTAACAAATGCGCTGATAGCCACAAAATACCAATCATCAAGCGAAGTTGGAAGACTAATTGAATATTGAAAGCCCCCAAGCCAAAGCTAACCAAGCCAGGGGTAGCCTACGCCTAACCTAAGCCAGCTCAAGAAACTCAAGCCTAAGCTGGGTCTCGCTAAGCTAAGCCTAAGCCAAGCCAAGCCTAGCCTAGGCCCAAAATAGACTTCCACGCCAATTTAAATGAGAAAGTGAAAACGTAAATTCAGTTTGCGAGCCAAAAAGAACAGCCGTCAAAGTAAATCATACGCTAATTTGAATGAGAAAATGAGAATAAGAATTTCAATTTCCGCTCCCAAAATACCGAAAACCCAGTTGAAAAGTGGCTCCAGAATACAAACCTTCAACTTTTTCAGCGCCTTCTCCACGTCACCGCCGCATTCGGCCACCTTCCGGTCGCAGTTGCCGCGCTCGGTGAACGACGCCTCCTTGTAGAGGATCTCCATCTGCTCAGCGCGCGACACGCTGCCTGATCCGGACGGCGAGCTGCGCTGGCTTTCGCGCGGCAGGCTGGACTGACTAAAAAAAATTAATTCACACCGCGAACAAATCGAAATATACCTCATGCCGGCAAAATACGCTGCCATCACGTCGGACCCGTTCGTCGTGTAGTTGCCGTAGTTGCTCGTCTAAAAACGGCGAATTAACTTCAACAAATCGAGCAACCTGCGGCATCGGCATCATCGAGATGGGCTGATTCAGGCTGGGGTAGATGCCCTGGCTCATCATGTTGAAGGTGGGATACTGCGTCGAGCCATACGCTAAAAAATCCAACTAGAAAAACGGCGCTGAATTTACCTCCATAAATCGGCGACCCGCCGCCACCATATCCGCCAAAGCCGCCGGAACCGCCGTACATCATCGGCGTGTTGTAGCCGTGGAAACCGATGGGCTGCTGGGTGAGACTTTGTTGTGCCGAGAAGATGGGCACCGAGAAGCTGGTGGACTGGGGCCGCGAGACGGAGGACGACAGGGCGAGGATGGCATCCACCTGCTCCTGTGGTATCCGGGTCTCGGGCTTGGGTGGCTAAAAATGTTTTGTTCTCTATGCTATTTATAACACCAACAATATAAATATCTATTTTGACATTTTGAAGCGTTTTTCGAAGGTTTCGAATAGATTTTGCGCTTGAAATATAGCTAAATTGAATCCAAAACTATTAAAAACGCCCTTTTGTTGTGTCGTGTAATATCCATACAGGAAGAAAATTCGGACCCGAAAGCCGCAAAATTTCGAAAGATGCATAGTTTCTATTTTCGAAAAACCAAACCTCAGATGGCACCATTATCGACGAAATCTTCGGATACAGCGGCGTCGGCACAAGCGGAACGGACGGCAGAACCGCGGCCGTTTTCTTCTGAACCGGCTTGACGGCTTGGGCCGCCGGGGCCACGCTGGCAGGCATCGGCGTTGGAGTGATGGCGGCGACAGGGGGTGCGGATTGCGGTGGTTGCGATGAAGGTTGTGGCCTAAAGACGGCAGTTTTTTGGCTTATAGTAAGGCGACTTACGCAAGCTTTGGAGCCAGCGGGTTGCTCGTCGAAGGGACCGGCGCTGCTGACGATGTAGGAATTGGAGTTGTTGACGCCGGTGTCGTAGGCTTGGTCTGAAAATCAGTAAGTTTTTTTTTTACGTTGTTTTGCTTTTACAAGGAGTAGTTTTTACGAGAAAATCGAATTTTGTTGCCATATGACAGGATTTCACATTGGTTGTTTCGATATAGCTGAAAACGCATCGGCAAAAATCGCTGTTTAGGAGCGAATTTTTCTCAACACGGCGTCGCTGAATGGTTTTGAAAAGGAGAGGATTTTTCAATTTACCTAGCTAAACTAGCGTAAATTTGAATTCAACTTTAGAATTTTTCAATCTCCAGACCCACCTCACTCGTCCCACTCTTCACCGATCCTCCGGCATTTCCGTAAAACAGCGCGCTGGGTTCCGGCAGGAAAGAGGCCACATCATCCGTCGTCCGCCGTCTCACCGTAGCTGCAGACGTCTTCTGGACTTCGGGCTTCTTGACGGGAGCGTCCTGCTTGACAGGCTCGACCTTGGGCGGGATGTCGACTTTGGAGGGCTGCAGAATAGATGTCGACGGAGGCTTCGGAAGCTGTTGAACGTTCACCGGGGGCTGTTGGGCAACTTTGCTCGGCTGCAACACCTGTGTGTTTATAGGCGTGTTTTGTTGGGCAGGCGCTTGGTGGGGCTGCTGTGGGAGTGAAGATCCGTTCATCGGCGCCGTTTGGTGTCCGGCTTGAACTTGTCGGGCCGGCTGCGGATTTTGTAGACCGCTCATAGGTGCCTGTTGTAGTCGATCAGCTGGCTGCGCAAGTGCCGATCCGTTCATAGGCCCATTTTGCTGTCCGGCTTGAACTTGTCGGGCCGGCTGCGCGTTTTGTAGACCGCCCATAGGTGCATTTTGGAGTCGAGCCGCCGGTTGACTTGCGGGAGTCGGTTGCAGCGGTTGGGTGGGCACGACAATCTGCGATGTCGGCCGAGCGGCCTGGACTTGCGCGGCAGCCCCGGGGTTGTACATGCTGAGCCGGCCGGCGGCTTGTAGCTGCTGAAGTTGGGCGGCAGTTGGCTGGTATGCGGCTTGCGGGACGGCGCCCATGTGCGGCGCGGCCGTTTGGCGAGCCGACGAAATGGCCGGCGTCGGCTGCAGCACCTGAAAAACACACTTGAAGAAGGGCCGGGAAGGAAAAAGGAGAGAAAAGAGGGAAGGTAAATAATGGGTGAGAGTGGAGAATGAATCAATTTGCCAGTGTATGCCGGTCCTGGTGTATGGCGACATTACTAGTCTAAAAGTTTGTAAAAGCATTTGGAATGCTAACAGTTATGCTTTTTCAGAGTCGTCGGAAAACTGCTCGCTAAATCGCTCATTTTCGATAGATAATTCAATTCTGAACAATTTTTACAAGTTAATTCCAACAAAATGGCTCTCCCCGATTAAAAACAGCAAAAAACACGGATTCGGCGCCGTGAAATTCCTAGCGTTTTTACTTTTGTAAAAAAGGGGATAACCATTTCGCAAAAATGAAAAACAGAGCGCGACAGAATTAGCTATATCACGGGCAATTTGCGGACATCTCGAAAAACGCCCATTCTTGGAACGAAATTCCTAGAAAACTCAAAACGCCAAAGCGACACCGGCAGCCGCAAAATTTATTACTCTCGAAAAAAAGTGATGGATTCACAGTGAGGAGAAAAATGTGCGAAGTTGGCAAAATTTACTGACATTTGTGCCGAATTGGGGAGTGGACGTGGAGTGGGAGCTGGGCCGCACTTTTTGCCCGTTGGCCAGGTAGTTGCCGATGCGCACCTAAAAAAGGGTAATGTTAAAAAGGTGAAATCTCGACCTCAAACGGATCGGGCCCCTGGGCGACGTTGGGGTAGGACGAGGGGACGCGCATCGTGTTCATCTGGCTGTGCACCATCACCGGCGTCTCGTTCGGGTTTTGCCGGAGCCGCACTTCGCTGGCTGAAAAGAAGGATTAGACATCACGTCAGGGGGTTTCGCTAGCCAAAAAATTTGACGGTGGTGGGCAAGGGTCAACAAATTCCTCAATAATATTTGCTAGTTGACCACGGGCAGATAGAACACAACAAGTTGGACAAGCAGGGTCTCTTGATCAAAAGTTTGAAAGGTTACGGAAAACACGAAGTCCCGTTTTTCCGAAAAAGTTCCCGTTGTTTCCTACACGTGATCGAAAAAGAATTTCCATTTTCAGAACCCGTTAAAATTCAGAACGCTGGGTTAAATCAAACTACATAGGTAAATCCCACGGCGTCGCAAAACGAATCTGCCAATTTACGCCTTTGTGACACTTCCCGATCTAAAGCAATCGCTATATGCCGCTTACAACAAACGGCGCGGAAAAATTTTACGCTAGCTGTACGTAGTCAACAAATTCCTCAATAATATCTGCTAGCTGACCCCAAGAAAATTGACAGCGTAATGCAAAAAACATCAAAAAACACTTCTCACCTGTACTCTGGCGATCGAGGATGCTCTGCATCTCGTTCATGATCGACTGACCGTGGCCGACGCCGATATTTGCGCGAGACGAGGACGGCACTAAATTTTAACCCATCTGGATCACAAAACCAGATAAAACCAACCGTTCGGCTCAAAATGCGTGGCACTTGACATGCCGTGGGGCGGTGGATTTGGCCTCTGTGCAAGCGGAATGCCTTCAAGCCGTTGCGCGACGCTTCGAACATTCTAAATAACAGAATTTAACGCTTATTATTCCTAGATATTGATTGCTATATACCCTCGATAAATATTAATTTGGATAGAAAACGTGCGTCCAAAAAACTCACGACAAAGGCGTCGGCGGACAGCATGGGAGGAGTGTTGTTGGCAGAGCGGCTGGCGCTAAATGAGCGTCATCATGAAAATCCACTAGACACGAACCCATTCTCGGAGATGGAGGTGGATTTCGGGCGCGGGACGGCGGCCCCATTTTGGTGGACCTTCGGCTGCGTGCTGGGTGGAGGAGGAGCAGGGCGGGCTAAAAAATGGGTTTTTTCACAATTAATCTAAATTAATGGATTAGCAAATCCCTAAATCCTAAAGAATCGTTCAAAGAAATCTGCTCGAATCAAAAATGTTTAGTTTCAAAAATTCTTACTACTAAGTCCTCTGAAAATGATCAAAAAAGAACGCTCTACCTATTTGCTGCGATGCTGGTAATATGAGAGGAGGCGGAGCGGGTTGGAACATAATCGGCGCCGGGGCAACTCGTTGGGATGCTAAAAAAAGACAGCTAAATTTAAATTTTGAACCCAAGCAGGCACGTGTTTCCATACATAAAATCTTTACTTTAATTGATCGTAATAAACGTTATATTCAATCCGTTCGGCAGTTAACCGACCTCTTGTCAACGCGACATCTTCGAAAGGGTCGGCGAGCACGGCGAGCTGGATCCCCGGGCCCGACGACGACGAGGGCTTCGGATTGGCGGCTGGCGGCTTTTCTGAAAAAATATTATTTAAAGCAGTGAAAACATTAGAATAACCAAAGCCAAGGAAAAAAAAATGATAAAATGCTCACTCGGCAACTCTGGCGGCCGGGTGCCCTTTGTCTTGTGCGGCGGAGGGAGAATCGAGTCGATGATATCGGGGGCCACACTGAAAACAAGACTATAAACAAGAAACGACAGCTAAACTACACACTACAGAGGTCATAAAGGCGAAAATTGCTCATGGAAAACCTACGCTGGCATGGGTTGTCCGGTGACGGGGTGGCCGAGGTAGATGGGGTCGATGCGGTCGGGGCCGCCCCAGCTGCGGCCTTCTCGGGTGTCACCGTGGCCGGTGTGGATGAAGGAGCCTGAAAAAAAAGAGCTGATAATGATTATTTGGCGGGCACATAGAGGGTCTGATACTCTGGAGAGAAAAAGCATGAACGAGACACCGCAATAGCGCACGGTTTGACTGGTTCTTTTCTACAAAAATCGCGCCGAAAGCTCATAGCCATATTTTTATTAAACAGCGGCATTTTATAAGTTAGGTCCTCCGCTTTTCCGAGTCGATCCGAGCTAATTTGCCCCAATTCCTCCAAGCAAAATAACGAAAAGCTGCCGTCAACTAAACGCTAAGGCCGAACCATTAATATTTCAAAAGCGTTACAAAAACACGCATTTCAAGAGAATTTCGAGCGGTACTTTCGAACATCGAAACGCGTCCCTATTCTACCTATCTTTTTGAGCACTTACGGTATTTCCGACACTCTGAATCCAGAAAGTTTGAATCCGGAAGCCGCTAAAACAGCCAAAAACCTCATTCACCCAAAAAAATTTCCAAGAAACAGCGCTGAACAAGGGGTCCAAAATGCGGCAGACAAATGGAAATGAAGACAAAAAGAGGCTTTTCCGAGGACAAGGGACCGAAACTTGCCGGAGACCGAAAACCCGCGGCCCACAGAAGTGTCTAAAAGCCGTTGAAAAGAGTCTACGATCACAGCCACCACTCGAAACATCCCAGGTAAAATTTACCGGCAATCGGCCGCGAGATCCGCTGATTTCCATCTTTCGTCCCGTCGTGCGACGAGCGCGTGAACACGGAGGCGCGCGGGAACTGGCCGAACAGACGCGTGCGCTCGTTCTGGCCGAACCACACGGTGTTCCTGGAAATCATAGAGGTCAAAATACGGGGAGCACCCACTTGTCGTCAATGATCAGCACCCGGTCGCCCATCTGCAGCTCGAGTCGATTGCGATCGGTGGCAAGTTGCGGATCACGGACCTCGGCGACCGGGAAGCTGGCCTAGAATTTGAATTTTGAGCATAGAGTGGAGAGAGCTGTTCTTTTTGAAAGCACATTTTTTCGCGGATTCTTTTTTAGTCCACGAATTTTCATTTCTTCTCAGTTTAATCTCTCCGCTATGGCTTTGAACGCTAATGAAGACATTTCGTTGCTGAAACCACCAAAATAAAAACTTTTTGGCAGAAATGGCTGCTTCAAGATCCCCAAAATCGAATTTCCAAGCCTCGGTCCTTTTTTGGCGCTCGCAAAAGCAGTTTTGAAGATATTTGGGATTAAAAAAATGGTTAAAATCACGGAAAAAAGCTAGCAGGTCAGAAAGGCGGTCGGTAAATGTCATTTTGCTTTCGAAGAAATAAAGATTGGGCGGAAACAACCCTCACAAGGTGGTTTTTAGGTGAAATTGGAGTTTTTTTTGATGCGACTTAGCTCATTAGATACAGCTTGAAATTCTGAACGATCCCCATCTTTAAAAAACTGCTAAACGACAACGGTCGATGAGAAACAGTGTCTCGAACTTTTGCATTCTGCCAAGCGCGGGCCAAAATGGGCAAATTTCATCTGTAGCCATTCAGCGGTTTTTGCAAGACGGGAGTTGTTCAGAATTTCACGAGCTATCGAATGAACTATACCATACGGCAAGAATACAAACCATAATCTAAAAACAACTCCTTGCCAGCCCATGGAAATTTGGTGAAACCAAGAAAATCGAGGCAGCGCGCCGCACCTGCTTCAACTGGCCCCAGAATTTCTTGAAGCACGGCCGATCGTCGGGGCGCGCCATCCAGCAGGCCGTCATCAACTTGTAGACTTGCTCGGAGCAGTAGTCGGTTTTTCTCAGTCTCTCGCCAGCGTCAATCTTCTCCAGGACCTAAAAAGATCGTTGTGATGCGTTGAAAACTAATCCCTACCTCCTTGCCCCGCATGCCGGCCCACGGATCCTCGCCCAGCGAGAATATCTCCCACATCAGCACGCCCATCGCCCACACGTCGGACGCGTGCGAGAATTCGCGGAAGCGCAGCGATTCCGGTGGACACCTGAATGGATGGTTATGAAAAGGGAGTTTTGGGAAAGCAGTAAAAACTTAGACCCAAAGCTGTAGTTGAGGAAATCGAGGGGCTTGAACAACAAAAAAAGAGCGAAAGACAGGGCTCTTTGAGTCTTTTCCGGAAAACTAGAAATTGTAGCTCAAAATTACGTTCAGCCGCCCAAAAAAAATGTTTGAAATTGCATTTTACTCATCTGTTTAACACATTCTCCCCTGTTTCCGCAAAGCCGAGAAAATTGAACGAAAAGTCGCACAGAAAAAGGGGCAAATCCGAAGGGATTGAACGGAAAAGGAAACAGGGCTTCCCGAGTAGTCGATAAAACTAAAAATCTAACGCAAAAAATAGTTACATTTTCGCCTCGATTCTTTCGATTGAAATTTATAAAGCCGCATCACAATGTTTTAGTAAAGCTTTTTATCGAGGCAATTTCGCAGAAAGCAGAACAAAAACGCCAAACTCAAATCCCTCGGATTACCTAAAGGAAAGGGCACACGGTGCTCTAAAGGGTGTCAAAATGCGGTGGTTGCAACTCAACGTACCAGGCAAAGGCCACTCGTTTCTGCGGGTTCATGACGTAGAGCCGCTGGTTTTCTTCCAAGCTTCTCATCAGCCCGAAATCGCAGATTTTCACCGTCTGAAAAGGGTTTATTGAGGGTGTTTTTAAGTTATTTTAACAGTAACGTTAAAGGTTACTTCGAGTTTTTTAAACGCGCAAAAGCGCTATTTTGTAGTTCCCGGTTACGTTATAACCAGAGTACCCGGAACTTTTCGATATACACTTCCCCTCTGTAAGATCTCCTCTCATCAGTCCGCGCTCTTTTGCCTATGCCTCCGCCAATCAGCCCGATTCGATTTATGGCGCCGGGGCGGGGCGCGCGCAGCTGACAGGTTGTCAACCTTCCCCAGGCAACACCGCCAGCCGGCTGGAGTGGTCCAGTGGTATGATTCTCGCTTAGGGTGCGAGAGGTCCCGGGTTCAATCCCCGGCTCAGCCCAGATTTTTTGCGTTTTGAAAGTTTTTGATTCCGTGACGCTCCTATGTCATTCAAAGCTTCTCCCGGGCCTCTCCCAGTGCCAGAAAAATGGGTTCCTGGGTCTTTGCAGGGTGCGTCGCGGGTTCGATCCCTAGCCTAACACAAAATTTTATTTTTGAAAGCTTCCGGTTCCGTTAAGCTCCTATGTCAGTCATAAGTCTCTCCCGGATTCTCCTGCAATGACTGAGTAGTTTCTCACATAGGGTGAGAAAAAGCGCGGTTTCGATCCCGGGTCCAGCCTGAATTTTTTTCTGATTTTTGGATGATAGGCTGGGAATGTTAAACCTAACCACCGTTTCCCCGGAACTTTCCCGAATTTGCGAAGGCCAAATATTTACCCGCTCATCCGTCGACAGCAAGATATTCCTGGCGGCCAAGTCGCGGTGCACGCATTTTTTGCTCTCCAGGTAGGCCATGCCCTTCGTGATCTAAGGAAGGGTAAAAAGCCGATATTGCTCCAGATACCTGTTGCGAATACTCGAGCATCGATGAAACGAGCAGCTGCGCCTTTTTTCGATCCCGGAGCCGGTCGAGCAAACTGCCACCTTCGCATAGTTCGAACACCTGGAAATTGGGGTTGAAAATTTGGATATTTTTTGACAGTTTCGATGGTATTTTTCTAGAGATTCCCTTTCACGCTATTCAATCTGCTTTCCGGACCGATTGCCTTGAAGAAAGCAAAGAAACTAGGGCCAAATTCTAAATAAAACCCAATTTTCCAAGCCAATGCTATAAAGAAAACTAGCCGTAGCCACTTTTAACAAGATTATTCGCTCCCCAAACTAAACCAACACCCCCCTATGACTTTCGGCAAAGAGCCTCGAGGGGGCTTCGCGGCGCTGATTCACTATTCTTCAAGCCGTCCATTCCCTTTTCGGCTTTTTCCGCGCCACACTCCCCTTTCCCCGGTTCCACGGCGACCGGTTCCGTTAGGTGGCAAGGTTACGGAAATCAGCCGCCAGCAAAAGTTGCGAGTAAAAGCAGTACGTTTTCGCTTTTTAAGCTTGTTCCTTTAAAAATAAAAGAAAATACGCAAACTCGCGCTCTAGTTATCACTATGGTCATTCAGAAGGCTCTGGCGCGGCTTTTCCAGCAGAATTTGTAATTCCGCAACCCTGAAACTCTGATTACCACGCTAGTAATTTTCGTCGGCCCTGTAGTTTTTTCACACAAATTTTTTCAAATTTAGCAATTCATAAAAAAATATTTCTGTGTCATCTCAGCCCTCGATTTTTACAAGTCCCCCGCGAGCGTACAAAATGTCAACACGCAGCACGTCGTACTCGCCGCCATTCCAGGCCGGTCACTCCTTTCCCGTATCAGGTTTCCATTCGGCCCATGAATCCCGGCGCCCGTGAAATCGGGATCGATTCTCGCGGGCCACTTCTTCTGATAGCGCAGATTGGGTGCGAAAATTTTGCAACGTTTCGGGTGATCCTAGAAGCCTCCAAAGTCAGAAACAAACATGTGTAACCTGCAAAAAATGCGTCATCGTCGCCTACGGGTTAGTCATGATTTTGGGGGCTGAATCATCGGCACAGCAAAAATGGTAAAGGGTGGGGCTCTGAATTTGTCACGGCCGTAAATGACCAGCGCCATACAATCGGTGTTTTTCAGGTGATATTGCCTTTAGAGATGTGATCCAGCCTGTCTGATAGAGCTTCAAATCCGGAACGAATCACGTCTTTCAAAAACTGTTGCACGACTATGGTTTTTTGGAAGATTTTATGTGAAATGGCTGATTTTTAACGCGGCGATGCGCAAAAATTTTGCTGCAAAATTTCTCCGAAGGCCGTAAGAGTTCCGCGGTTTTTTAAGCTGGTACCTGTGCAGAATTTTAGGCCCTGAATGAGCTAATTCGCATCGCAAAACTACAATGTCGCCTAAAAGCCACCGCATGGGTGTGCCAGCAAGTTGGCAGCCAGCTGGCAGCAACCATCCAGGAGCGGAGCGGGAGAAGACGGTTGAAAAACTGACCATCCAGCCCGCATCTAAAACCACGCCGTAGAGTCGAATCAGGTTCGGGTTTTTCAGCTTCTGCAGACTGTCGATTTCTCGTTGTAGATCTTCCATCACCATATCCGAGGCATCCCTGAAAAAGTGTTTTTAGCAAGAGCGTCAGAAACGAAGAAAGGTATGGCGAGCCGGTTTTGAAAAGCCCAGATTCCGGAGCGACGCCCGAAACGCGACAAAATAAACTCAAGAGCTTTTTGAAACGTAAAAACAACGAACCTAAGAATCTTGACCGCAACATCGAGCTTCTCGCCGCTAGGAGTCGTCCAATAGGCTCGTTTTACCACGGCAAACGTGCCTTCACCAAGCTTCTCGAGGAGTTTGATCTGGAAAAAATGAATTAGGCCGTTTGGATAGTTAAAATAAATGTATTACCGTGTTCGCATTAATTTCACCTCTCAAGCAAAAAAAAACCGCGAAAACAACGAAATGATGGTATAGTGATCGTGGAAACATCCGCACCTGTTCTTTTTGAATAGTGCTTGTGCCCGGCTGCGAGAGTTCTGGCGGCAGCCGGGAATCCGTCGATCGGCACTTGAACAGAGGGGCAGCCCGTTCCGGATGTCGCCTCAGGTTCCGCTTCTTCTCCTGGATCGCTTCACGCAATCGACGGATTGCGGGCAGCGAGAGGCCGACGTTCTGAAAATAAAATTAAAACAATAAATTTTTGTGAAGAAAACTATCTTTACACAAATTTTGGGTTTGAGCTTTTAGACTGACATCTTAACGGTCTTAAAAGACTGTCGCGCTGACAAGAGAGTAAAATCTTTAAAAAATCAGATCTTTATGAAGAAACTCTTTTCACACCAATTTTGAGTTTTCCGCGTTTATGCTATCCTATTAAAAGATGTAACTCAGCTGAAAGTAAAATTAAATAAGCAAGATTCGCACCTGCAGGTCACGCTCTTTCGCGTGCTCGAAGTGCTCGAGCTTCGTGAGTTGGAGCTCGTGGCAGAGCTGCCGTCGGAAGCCCTGCAGGTCGGCGGCATCCAGCACCTAAAGAAGGTAATTTGCAAAATTTTCGGATACTTCTAACTCATGGCAGGATCAGAAAAACAAACCTCTAGCAGCGCCTTGTCCAGTGGTAGTCCGGTGCCCATCTCATCGCTTCCGGAAGCACCCCTGAAAAGCCTTGCAAGTACCACCGGCAAAATGATGCCAGTATGGAAAACCAGAAAGCGAACAAAATTAGGTACAATCGAGAAGATGCGGAAAAGAAACTCAGCCGTTTCCGACACAATTTTTAGAAGGGACCTAGAATCGAAAATTTCAACACTAGGAGAAGAAGCCGCGGCCGAGGAAAACGTATGACACACGCCAAAGGTTTGGGCGATTAGCCTGCAGAGGTTCTAAAGAGTGAAAACGAACGCGTCACCGGAACCCCCTTTCTCCCACGGATTGTAAACAACGGCCTTTCAGCGAATCAGCCCGGTTGTTTACGAAATGTTTCGGGATTTTAGCGCGTCGAGGTAACATGGCGTGAACAAGAACAACAATTCTACCATTAAAAGGCGCACTTTCGGAAAATTTAGCGTAAAACGCACAGACAAAAAGCGAAGACGGCTCCGAAAAGTGGAAAATTATCTACAAAGAATCGGGAATAGATAACCAATTCGAGCCTCAAGCTCACGCAAGACAAGCTGGCGCGTAGATTCTCATAAAAAGGCGAGCAATCCCCGTGTTTTCATGCGAAGAAGAAGAAGAAGAAGAGAGAATAACCCCATCCGGAGTCAGATCGGGCTCAAAATCGGCATCGATATACAGTCGACGTTCCTGATCAATTCCCTGCGTTTTTAATTCACCATTGCCGTTTTAAGAGTCAAGATACATAAGTTTAAATTGGTTGAAAATGACGGAAAGCTACAAAATCTTCAGATTAGCCGCTTCGGGCCTGTATATCTCTAGTTTTCAACGTCTACAGAAATCTTGAAAATAGAATCAGATTTCGGCTGCTGATTTTGTTTGCGTCCAACCGAGCCTGGGTCGAAAAAAGCGCCGAATTTCGTCCAAGCGGTATGCAAGTTGCTCCAGAAAGGGAATCAACGCGCCTAGCTTTACAAA